GGCTGTGATCCGGCAGGGGGGCGGCTGCGTGCTCAAGGAGTGTGGCCAGGCAGTGGGCGACGGCTGCATCGTGTGCTGCTGCATAAGTGGCGGTGAGGTGGGGGGGCAAGATGCGCAGCAGGTAGTTGGCACGCGGGGCGGCGCAGGACTGTAGCAACAGCCAAGCGGCCTGCAAGTCGTAGCCCAGGCAGACGCTGGAGAAGTCGGTCGTGGTCCTCGCGCTTGCGCTCCAGGCTCCAGGTGCCTGGTAACAAAAGCGTCGTGCCCGAAGGGGGAACCGAGCACTGGTGGGAGAGACCAGTCCCCGACCCAGACTGGCTCGGCACTCAGGTCGGCGATGTGGCTTGGTTCCTCGCCGGCGGAATTCCAGATCCGTGTTTTGCCCTCATGGAGACGAAGCCGCGCACGGTGCCACAGGGCGGCTGCGAGGGCATCGTAAAGCGTGCGGACGCGCTCGGGTGCCGAAACGACATAAACGTCGTCACAAGGAAGGCGAAGATGGCTTCACCGTCTAGGAGCTGGCTCTGCAGGTCCGCGAGCGCAGCGTGCTGCGCCGGGCGTAAAATGCAGGCATCAACGGGTCGCCTTGCTCGCCGCCCTCATTCTGACAAACTTCATGCTCGCGGCCATCAGCGTCGAACCAGGAGTAGACGCTAGGCGCGGCATAGAACTGCCGTGCGTAGGGCAGTAAAGGTTGCAGCTCCCGGCGGGAAAGCAGGGCGTCTAGGATGGATGCGAAATGAGCAAAGGCACCAACGGCATCGACGGAGAGGACAGTAGCGCCAAGGCATGCCTCCGTGGCCGCACGGAGCAAACGGCTGACAGCCTCCGTGCCGGTGCGCGTGCTGAGGCCGTACAGGTGGGGCATGCAAGCCTTCTGGAAGTGGGGGGCGACATGCTGCGCGAGCACACGGCCGACGAGACACCGCAGCACATCCCCGATTGCGAGGGCCCGGACCCGGCCGTTTGGCTTGCGCAGCGCGACAAGCCTCGCGACGCGGATGCCGTCAAGCACGGCCGGAGGCTTCCGCATTGGCTAGCCGGAGGGCGGCGCCATGCAGCAAGCGGGCGTCCTCCTCGTCGTCGAGCAAGACGCGCAAGTGCTCGTTGGTAGCGCCAGACGGGCCGGCTGCAGAGCCCCGACGAGCGCTCCGCAAACTGTCGAGGAAAGCTTGCTGGGGAAGGGGGCATGGTTTCTCGGGTTCATGTCGCAGCGCGGCCTGCGGCAACGGCGCGTAAGGCTCCTGCTGCGGTCGCCGGTGCGGATCGCGGAGCTCTGCGAGTGTGCCGCTGCTGCCGGCAGCGAGCGGTTCCGCTGTCATCGCGCGGGCTGCAGCGGACAGCTCCCCAAGGTGGACTGGAGCGGTCGCGCGGCGCGCGCCTGCGGCCTCGCCGGCGGGGTCTGGCCGTGAGATTCGCCTGGCGATCGGTAGAGCAGCATGCGGGGTGCGAGGCAGAAAAGCTTCCAGCCGCGTACTTCATCATGAGGGCAGGACGGATGCACTGCGAGCCGGAGCCCTGCTCGCAGGGCAGTGCGCAAACTCCCGCGGACACATGCAGGGGCGGTTTGCAACGTGAGAACGCGCTCACGGCAAGTGGCTTGCAAATCGATGGGATAGAGGGCCTCGAGACTGAGCCTCAGACCAGCTTCTGCAGCTGCGGTGGTTTGTGCACGACGCGTGCCGGTCGTCCCAAAACGGCTGCATGCGGCCTCGGGGGGTTGGGTTCCAGGACTTCGGCGGGCGGGGCAGCAGGGGTGGGGCGTCCACGTCCGCGCCCCCGCCGGCCACGTCCACCGCCGCGGCCTGCCCCGGCAGCACGGACTCGCTGCGCGGCAGCTGCGAGAAGTTCGTTTTTTTTCTCACGCACCTTTTTGAG